TCTATCTATCTATCTATCTATCTATCTATCTATCTATCTATCTATCTCAAGTGCAGGAAATCTAGAGTCCAGGCAATTCAAATGAATATAGGTTGATTGCATGATATTGCTCTCTACAAGAATCCGAATTACTAATGGTGAAAGGAAATTGGCAGTTGATAAAAGTCAATGGAATCCAAGGTGGGCTGGACTTAGATCTCTTGTGGGTGTGAAGGGACTTGAGACTAATGATGTGTTTGACCCCTCCCTTCTCCTACAATCTATCATCTCCCTCCCTCCATCTTTCTCATATATCTATCATTGTCTTCTGTCTCTATCTATCTATCTATCTATCTATCTATCTATCTATCATATTTCTTTCATTCTTTCTTTCTTTCTGTCTGTCTGTCTGTCTATCTGTCTGTCTATCTGTCTGTCTGTCTTCATCTGTATCTCTATCTCTCTATCTCAGCTATGCATATTGACCAACAGATGATATTTCCATAGACTATAAGACTAAACTCAAATTCTAGGTCACTCCTTGTAGAACCAAATGGCACCATCCCTTTACTGAAGGAGTTTTACAGAAACTCAATACTACCTTCTAAAGAATAGTCCAATATTAAAAGGATTGCTGAAGGTGGGTTGGCTGTTGGAGTGGGTATAGAACAGCGGTGGGATGCAAATATTTATACTACTGGTTCTGTGGGCATGGCTAGATGGGCATGGCCGTGTGACTGGGTGGGCATGGCTTCTTTTTTTGTGCAGCACACACACCCCATGCTCCATTTTTTTTGCCTCCTGGGCCCCAGGAAAGCCTCCTGGGGGGTCATTTTTGCTCCCAGGAGGCTTCCCTGAGGCCCAGGAAGGCAAAAAAATGGAGCATGGGGGAGCTGTGCAGCACACACACACCGCACTCTATTTTTTTGGGCTCCTGGGCCTCAGGGAAGCCTTCTGGGTGAAGCAGTAAGACAGCAAGGCCCCCCCCCCAGTTCAGTTGATTATCAGAACAGCTGATGGTTGGGAAGAAAAAAAATACTGGTTCAGTTGAACCGGTAGCTGTTTTTTTAACTACCAGTTTGGCTGAACAGTAGCATTTTTTACTACTGGTTTGCCTGAACCAGGACGAACGAGTAGAATACCACCACTGGTATAGAAGAAGAAAAGAGCAAAATATTCTGGGTAGGGTCTTGATATCCTGAACAGGATAGAAGAGGAGAATTTGTTGGGGAGCCGAACACCTCATCTCTTAGAACATGACTTTATCATCTGCTAGACTTGTATTGGGCACTTCTGCCCAGTATTACCTGTGGGTGTGGCCAAGGAGTGTCAGAACAACAATGGCATCATTGTAGCATAAGCCCCGTCTCTTTTGGATGGGCATCATGACATTGCATGCAAGTTCCAATGTTGCAATGCCTCAACGGTGAGATGCAATGAGTTGTTGCTCTAGTGATAAAGATGCATTAAAAGTCACGTGCAATACACCTTCAACTTGCCGTGGTGCATCTCTTAGGATTTTTTTTATCTTGACTTACGTTCCTTCTCCCTAAATTGGGACATGGCAAAGTAAGAAAAATAGGCTTGTAAATTGCAATTGTAGTCAGTCATCCAGGCAGATCAATACACATCTGTTGTAGAAGCCTTGTTTATGCCCCATATTTTCATCCTTTAATCGTTCTGTCCTAACTTTAAGGTATGAATTTCACCCTTGGAGAAGCATGGTATTTAAGATGAGGCTGATCAAAGCGAAAGAAGCATCTCTAATGATTAATGAACGTTGGGTGATTGTCAGTTGATTCTGCCATGGCTGGTGATGAATGGATTTTCCTGCTTCAACATGCATATGAGAACATAGAATATTATTTTAACTGTGTTGATCTAAATGATTAATGAGCTTCGCTAAATCATTAACCATCCAATATCACATTCTTGAGAATTCCCAACCAATGTGGGGAAAACTTCTACATATCTGGGCAGAAATATTGCAAAATCTGCTACTGGAGTTGCTGAAGTTCATTTACTGCTAAATCATAATATTGGCCAACATGGGATGAATTCAGTTATTTGGCATGCAAAAATGTTATTGGAGAAAAATTAGGATTGATACATTGTCTTCATCTGTAGTGGAATATATAAACTAATCCATAAAATGACAGTGAATCCCACACCCTTGTAGCTCTCATGATGTTACCTAGATGGGTAATGAAACACCTGGAAGAAAATAATCAAGCTCAGTGAGCACCAAGGATCCCACAGGCCAACCCTGATCTACAAATATTGTCTTCAATCAATCAATCAATCAATCAATCAACCAATCACCAAACCCAGTATATTCTGCCTTCCAGTAAATCCAATGACAAAAACTTTGATTGTAATGGCTTTGATTATTGCCTGTTATTGCCATGGATCAAATCCATAGTATATGCCAATTCTCTTGCACAAATTCCCAGTAGTCTACTAAACTTCAGTTGGCCAATCAGAATAAGCAGCTTTTAGGATGCAGCCATCGGTTTTATTATTATCATCAGGAGTTCTGGCTCCCATTCTAAATGTTTTCTTTGCCCCACTGAATTTCAGATGGTTTATGACCAGATCAATATCTTTGATATCAGGTTGCAAATCAGCTTGGAAACATCTTCAGCTTTAAGTGGCAGCCCATTTCCTATTAAAACCCCAAATCTAATACATGTTTCAAAGCTCAGGCAACCAATATCCCGACTTGAGGACCTGCCAGTATATTGACTTTGGGATAATTGCTTTCAAAAGATCAAGCATCAAATCAAATTGCTTCGATGTGTAGCAAACAATATTCCCATCTAGAGTGTTTTATGGCTTTTAATCCATTTCTGACTTGAAGGGATGAAAGCTTGTTTAGCTTACATTTCCTAGCTTATATATTTTGTTCCCACAAGGTGACCATATTGTTTTCTGTAAAATCTGATTTGTATCTGATATTTTCTGGGGTCCATTGACATGTTAATTCATCGTCTGTTATTTGTGACCAGATTTCGAGATATTGTTTCCAAGGTTTTGTTCTGTATTGGAGGGTTTGAAGTTATCATTTCATTTCCTCAAGACAACAGAAAAAAACAGAATAAGAAAGTTAGAAGAGGCCCCGGAGTTTTTTTTCGTCCAACCCCCTGCACAAGCAGGAGACCCTATACCAGGGGTCTCCAACCTTGGCAACTTTAAGCCTGG